TGTTTGTTTTCTGACGGTCTTAGGTGACCCCTGTGAAAGGGTCGTTCGACCCCCAAAGGGGTCGCGACCCACAGGTTGAGAACGCTGGTCTAGGAGATTAATGGAGGGGAGGTAGGGAGGAAGGTGTCTGCTCTTGGGAAGGGAACCTGGTGGGTGGGTCCAGTGCCTAAGAGGTTGCCGGAACAGGTCTTTCAGAAGAGCCTTGGTAGATGAGCAGAAGCGCTGGCCTTGAAGGGTGGGCACCTCTGGCCGTTTGGAGCCCAGGATCCCTGTGGGGCCTGGAGCCAGGGTGGCCTGTGGGGAAGTGCCCGGCTTAGGTTTGACTCCCTCTCTGCCCCTTGATAGCTGTGGCTTTCAGAAACTCCTTACTTTCTATAAGCCCCAGTTTCCTCGACTGCAGGATGAGGACAATAGCACCGCCTGTTTTAAGGACGTGCTCAATACGTGTGAGCTGTCAGCATTAAGTAATGGTAGTAAATCATCTCCATCCGACTTCCCGTGGTTGCTCTAAGTGGATTTTTCTTTCTGACCTTTCAGATTGCCAGTGTCCTGATGTCACAGAGCCCCTCTGTCCTCCTCACTTTGGTAAGTGGCAGGTGTCCAGGGACCGGGCAGTGTTTGCATGTGGGAAGGGGTTTTGGGGAGCCGCCCACCCCTGCAGGGGTCAGGGCTGTAGGGGAGGATTGAGAAACCAAGAGAAACGGTCATCCGTGTGCTAAGTACCGACACCTTCTCAGTCTGAATGGCTCGATTCTCCCATCTCCACGTCCTCAATTCTGCCGTCTCCCTGGGATGTGCTGTGACCTGTCATGAAGCCACTGTGGACAAGACACCATGCCCAAGGTTAAAACCTGGCTGGAGGTTGTATTTGTGTCAGGCTGAGATCATGGGCTTTGTGGATGGAGAATATCAATTTGCTTCCACCCTGTGTCTCCTCCATTGTTAACAGAATTTGAAAAACCCACCATTGGCGTCTGCCCATGAGGGTGCTGGGCTGTGCACTGTCCTATTTTGAAACCGGGCGCTGCATAACCGAGGGCCTGCCGTGGCCTGGGCGGGGCGGGGCTGCACAGTGACCCACTGCCCTCGCAGCCTGTGGGGCTCTCGGGCTGTGAACGGGCTCAGAGGAGAAGGCTGCTTTCTCGTGCTTCTTTGACCTTGGGCACTTCAGACACGGAGTGTGTACAACCTTCGTTCCTCCCAAAGTGACCCTTCTCTCGTTTGGTAATCGATTTTTACAGAAATACTTTTTCTTGGTTATTTTTGTTAGCACTTCACACTGTCTCTTTTTCCTGCTCTGCCGTTTTGAGGGCTGAGAAGGAAGGTTGTGTTAGACGATTGTGGTCACAGATGGTCCAGTGTGTTTTATTGGGGGTGGGGGGGAGGATTCCATTAGCTGTCGACCTGCAGTTTCTGAGAAAGAAGAGGTGGTGTTTACATGCCTTGCCTCTCTGGGGATGGCACATTTTCCTTTGACTCTTTTGTTTCGTCTTTGTTTCTGTCTAAGTTGCACTTGGAGTCTCCTTGCACTTAGTGCAAGGAGAGGAATGGAACAGCATCTCTGGAAGGGTTGGATTTGACAGTCAGTGGGGAGCGTGTGCGCACGCGTGTGCGTGAGATGGGGCTGGCCTGGGAGAGCAGGCTGTTGGGAGGGGGTGGCCGTGGTCCAAGCTCTTCTCGCCCGGCTCCCACCCGTGCTGAAGCAGTCTGAACTGGTGTCCGCAAAGTGCTCGGACGGAGGAGACCGTGTATTCTCCACTTTTTATGATGCTGCAGAAAAAGGAGGGTCTGCCCTTGCGCTGGGATCCAGCTTGGAATTAGCTAAAAGGCAGGGAGGGGTGGCTTTGCCTGGCTGGGGTGGGTGCTTGCCCCGTGCTTCCCTGGTCCTGAGCTTGGCCGGAGGAGGCAGGCCCTCCAGGGCAGCCCGTGGGGCCGCCACTCGGCCCTGTGTGATGTCTCTGTGCCCTCACGCTCCCTTCTCTTTCTCCAGCGTGGCGTCAACACTGACAGCGGCAGCGTCTGCAGGGAGGCCTCCTTCGAGGGCATCAGCAAGTGAGTCGTGGGGCCTGGGGAACTGCCTTTCTCCATCCTCCACAGCACACATCATCGCCAGCAGACCTTTACCCGTTTACAGACTCGACATGAAATATACAAACAAGAGAATGCTAAAACTGGGTTACATTGGGCTTTTTGAGGAAATGCTCAGAAACATAATTTGCCTAAATTCACTTTGACTTTGACTTTAAGGCACAGATGCCACTTCCCTTGAGCTCCGTCATGGAAGTGCAGGCCTGTTGAGCATTCAGGGAGCCCTGGCTGCCGTGTGCACGCACAGGCAGGGCCCTGCCCAGGCAGCGGTTTGCAGAGACCTGCTCTGAGCTCTGTGGTCTTTGTTCTTTTAACCCTCTCCTCATACCCCCCAGCCCTGCTCACAACTCTCCCTTGTCCCTTGCTGCCCTAGCCCCAGATTGGGACCCCCTTACCTGCCCTCACTCCCCAGTTGAGCACTAGGCTGAGCCCCCAAACCCTGTTCCCCCCTCTAGACCTCTTCAGGCAGGAGGGCAGCACCTTATGCCATGGCCTCTGGAGCGTGCTGTGTCTCTGGGCTGGGGCTGGCTGTCCTTGGGGGCATGGGGGAGGGGTCTGTGGGAAATCTGCATTGCTGGCCCGAGGCTACAGCAGACAAGACCTTGGGGTGGGGGGTGGGGGTCCCTGCTCCTCCAGGCTGCTGAGCTGGCCAGCTCCCGGCCAGCTCCTGTACCTCGATTGCAGCCCCTCCCCCACTACACTTACTCTGCGCCACTGTGTCCTCCGTCCTCCGTCGTCCTTTGGTGGACAGAGGCACTGACAGAGGAAGTGCCTTATAATTATGTATGAGCCTGAGCCCTGGGAATTTGTGTGTATGTGTGGTGTAGGGGTGATTAGGAAGGATTAGGAGCTCATAAATATGTATCACTTCCCCGTGATACGAGCGATGGGGTAGGGGGAGTGGGTATCAGGTTTGCTTCTTTTCATCGCGCAAATCTCCGCATCCTTTCAGGAGCGTCCCCAGAGTGGCCATGCCTCCCAGGCTGGCAGTGATTAGTCCAGCTCGTTGAAATGCTGGCCATGGAGCCGCCGTCTTTCCCTCGCGCCCGCTGCCTGTCCTGCACTGAGCCTCCTCTGCCCCCCGCTCGCACTGCCAGGTGCCGGTATTCCAGCACCCTGCTCACCGCCTCCACCAACACCACGGCACGGCTCTGTGGTCCCCTACACCATGGTGTTAGTGGAGGAGGGAGCCCTGGTGACTGCCTCATTGACCGGCTCTGTCATCTTAGCAGAGCTTACTTACCCTGAGCCTCGGTCCCCCCACATGTAGCATGCCTGGGCTTGTCATCGGGACAAAATGGCGTGCCACTCACCCAGAGCCTGGCGTGGAACTGGTGCCCAGTCAACCTCCGTCCAGTCCTGTTGCCCCTCTGAGCTTCAGTCCCCTTGTCTGT